CCACAGTGCTCCCTGCTGGTGAAGGACAGAACAGCAGCTCAGTGTGCCGCGTCCAGCCACGGTTTAGTGTGTCTTTATGTGTTTGTGTCTGCTTTAACCTCACGTGAGCTGCATGACTTGGGACCTCTACCAACATGGGAGACTCCCTCATCAACCTCCCGGCCACAGCGAGAGCACCGGCATAACCGTTTCCTCCAAGATTTTTGTCTGAATCATGGATGAGAGACAAAGAAAGAGAGAATGAGACACAGAGAAAGAAAGGGAGAGAGAGAGCGATGGAGAGAAACCTGCATGGCCAGTGGGCAACTTCAATAAAAGACAATCTGACTTTTCAGAAGCTATAATAATCAAGATCCTCCCACCGAGGTTGTTTGTCTGAGGGGGACACGGATGGCTATGGAGGAGGAAATTCAGAGCGGTAATTAATACTCCTAAGTGACTGCTGCTGGATGGAAGGCAGGGACAGGGTTTGTTGTTACTGTGAGCTGGTACTGTGTCCCCCAGCATGTCCCACAGCCTTGTGGGTTGGCATGTAAGCAGAGGAGGAGGAAATGGAGAAACTGCCTTTATTACTCGCTCATTTGTCTGCAGGGCCTCACCCGATCAGACTCCACATCTACACACACATACATTTATGAGTGTGCCTTCCAATGCTAATCTAGTGTCACAAATGTTAAGGGAAAGACATGAAATGCCACAAAAATGTCATCACTCCACCTCTGTCACTGGCTCATCCAGCCCTTTCCCTCCCCCTCCTCTCTGTTGTAAACATATTCGAACATACACTCATTTGCATGTGTGTGTGTGTTGGTGTGTGATGGAGTGTGGGACCAGCTTGTTGTTTTTAGCCTTTGGGTGCCTGCTTCTGCATGGAGCAGCAGGGTGGTTCCTATAATCCCATCACTGTTGTCGTCATGAAGGCCCAAAGGCCTGGCCTGGAGGTGCGACATTTCTGGCATCCTCTGACTCTCCTCCACTACCAGAGCCAGCAGCTCCTGAGCCAAAAGACACACTGTGAAGACTACCACTAGTCATACACTACACTGACTGAAAGTGACTTACTGTATTGTAGGTCTGGCTTAGAAATGAATATTATGTTTTGGGGAGGACATTCGGGTTTTCTAAGATAAAGTTTCAAATCAGTACATTTAAAAAAAACATTGAGACAAGCAATCAGTTTGTCAATGAACAGAAAAATGAACTTTTTTGATACTCAATTACTAGTTCTAGCATCTTTACTACAAGGATGTGCTGCTTTTGTCTCTTATTATGGTAGTGAATTAATATCTTTGAGGTTTGGACTGTTAAGAGAACAAAACGAGTAATTCTAAAATGTTGTCTAAAGAAACTTTCAACCTTTTACACACTCAACAATTAATCAATAATGAAAAAAAATGCAGCTGCAGCTTTAATTTGAGCTAAAATGATACCTTCATAAATTAGTTTTTTTTTAAAAAATCAATCAGAGAATAATAACAAAAACAAATCCCTCAACAATTTGTATTTTTAGACTTATCACAAAATCTGGCTTTAATTCTATACTTTAGCTAAAAGCTCCCTCCTTGCACAATACAAACTATTACCCATCCACCAAAATCAAGTTTCCTGTCAGTCTCTCCAGCCTTCAGCATCAAATTCCTTGAACAAAATATAATCAAAAATAAAACCTGACAGGAGCTGAAGGTACAGGCAGCATCCTGACCCCCCATACATCTGTCTGTCTGCATCTCGCAGCCCTCAGCCTTCTCCCAGACTGTCACCCAGCTGCCTGGCACCTATCCCCGCGTTCGCTCTCCGGTGGGGATCCGACCTAGCACCAATATGCAATTTCGCCAATCTGCGCTGACAGCGTTCATATCTTCCCCCCCCCCCCCCCGCGAGTATCTGTGTAGTTAAAATACTATATATTCAGTCAAAGAGCTTTCCCAGGTCATGAAAGGTAACAGAGGAGACAGGCGGGGCTGCAGGCCCTGCATCCCGGCCAGACAAATCAGTGTAACAGCATATTGTGGGCTGCACACTAGGCAGAGGGGGATACATCTACCAGGACTGAGGCTGCGTTTATGGCTATGCCTGCCTCAGGAAGCCCCACGGCACATTCTGTGACCCCCACTGTAGATTTCCTTACTAATGTGACCCCAGATTGTGTATCACAATCGGCATGAGAAAACTCCCACAGGCTACAGTTAGTGCTAGGCACTAGGGATCGTTGTCCTCAGCCCGCCTGAGTACAGACAGGATGTGGCAGCTTCGAGGCATTTAGTTAAAGGAGACGCACTTTAATGCTGCGGGCATGCATTTATGGAAGCCCCACTAGGGTAAAAGTGTATGACGTGCTGGAGTCTATAAACAAACAGCAAAAAAGAGAGGTTGGATGAAAAAAAAAAAAAACATGCAGAGAATTAGCCTTACCTTGTTTCATGGCATCTAATCATTTGTGATAGTCTGTGTACTCATTCTTATAATTAATTTGTTTTCTGGGACAGCTTTTTCTCAACAAATTGGGTTTAAAAATATCATCTGTTCTTTTATATTAAGTGCATGCGGTGAAAGGGAACATTGCGGATACAGTGGATGTGCAAGGCAATAAACATCAATGAAAGTAGTTCACATGAAGTACAGCTGCTGCCATATGAGAATCAAAAGGGCCTGGATATTCAACCTTAAACTGCTACATTAGACTATAGCATGACCTAGGTATTAGCTATCTCATTATGATCATTTGTATACAGTGAGCTAGATACTCACAGTTGACATCCTGTATGAAATTTGATGCTGTCACAATGTGGCAGGAAATATGACAGCATTGGAAATGCCCAGTGAAATCTGGAACAACATGACCTGAGAATATTTTGGCCATGATGTCAACAGAGTAAAAACACATGGCAACTCAAGTGCTTTCTGTGTTTTTTTGTTTGTTTGCTTGTTTGTTTTTTGGAATTGCAAACCTATCAGAACAGTGTTTGCTTTGAAGTATTTGTCCATGAATATGGACATTGTATTTACCATTTAATCCTTGGTAGTAAACAAAAGTGACCCATAAAAATAAAAATATATGACAAGGAACTGTAACGAATATATATTTGTGAATATTGCTGGTCTTGCTCTTTGTATTATACTGCTGCATTGAAAAGTACTTCTTCCAATTAAGTAGTTGATGATTCCAGCCTAAAGCAGGTTTTGCATTTGTTTTTACTGTGTCACATGCACCTCGTAGCTCAACCATATTATTGCACTTGCTCATAAAACTATTGATGTAAAGTCATTTTTACTTAAGTGCAATATTGTGCTTACACCCATAACACTCATCGTAACATGTCATCTTTTAAACATCTTTGGACTTTTCTTTTTTTAAAGTGAGGTGATGATGTGCATTAACTTTCTACTTAGTGCATTTCAGGGGTAAATGTTCTTTTTATACAGTCAATTTGTTTAATAGTTTTAGTTACTGGTTGCTTTGCAGATTCCATTTTTGTGAATATTTGGCTCTGGATACTGGATACTACTAAATAAATCTGTCCAACTACTGCAACTAAATGTAGTTCTGGTAAACAAAAAGCAAAAAGCAGCCAAAACTGTCCTCAGTTCAAATACGCAAGCATTTGTCTGCCTTACTCATCATCTCCTTGTACATTTTATAGCAGTCTGAATTAAGGCAATAAAATCCAGAGGGAAAAGATGAATTTGATTCATATTGCTAGAGTCGCTGACATGACCTCAAGTCTTGTCATCCAGGTGAGCTGTTACAAAGAGGATCTGCTGGGAGTGAAAAGGAAGCTTGAAGTGTGACATCTCAGCCCAGCTGTCACTCTCTGTGGTGTCACACATATACACACAAACTCTCTCTCTCTCTCTCTCTCACACACACACACACACACACACACACCTGGACAGTATGTAGTTAGTAAGCCCAGTTTTGACTGACAGGTGACATTTCATTATGGGGAAATCGTGGAGGCACAGTACATATCCAAACAGACACGGCACACACAATGTCACCGCCAGGACACACTGCAGAGACAGACAGGCAGGACAGAAAACTTTGCTGCAGGACTTCAGACTGAAACTCCAGACTTTCCACTGTCAATGTTGATTTCAGTTGACCACAAATCTTCACAAGAGAAGTTCTGTGATAACATGTATGTTGGTATGAAGTGGCAGGACTGCATAACATTCATTTTTGATCAGTTCAGTCCACGCCATCGGGGAAGTTTGGATTACAGAGCTGAGTCTACCTAGGGAATGCTGGGATATGCAAATATTTAACAGCAGCATGCTTTGTGAAGTACATTTATGGAGGACACCTTTTTAACCGAAACTATGTAGGTAACTTTTATTTACTTTGGTATGTGGCCGAACATACTCACAATTCAGCAACATCAATTTAACATAAAAAAAACCCTCAACAGATGTGCTGTCATCTATTGCAACCTTTGAAAGTTATTTGATTAAACATTGCAGATCCCCTGTGAAAATCATTTACAGGTCAGGTTCCATAGTCTATTGTCAGGTCATTTGATTTTTGTACAGATGGCGGTCAAACCTAAAGAAAATTATGCCCTTATTTCATTCATGTGAGGGATGTCTTTTGTAAGTATTTTTCAATTTCAGATAAAAACTGTTTTTTGTTTTGTTTTTTCTGTTTTTTTTATTTCAACATACAAATGTGGAATACTGCTAACACCTCTCTATCCTGACATAAAACTATCAGGTACTTAGCTCTTACTCTATTGGATGGCTATTGTGTAAAATGCATTGTGGTATTCGCATTTCATTATTTTGTAGTTTAATTGGTCAAGCAGGACACACTTTTAAATATTTGTTGTTGTTGTTTTTTTATTTATTTAATAAAAAATGAATAAGCAATCGTCACTTTCACTGATGCAATCTAACGTGAGACGAGACTCGCATGCTGTGATTTTATCGGTTGTCCCGACAGTCAATCAAACGTCGGAAGGTGGGACTTGAGGATTTCAGCCAATCACAGCAGCTGTACACTGTATCGCCCCTCCGACAGTCAGAAACATGGCGTTGCGGGAGCTATCCTCGCTGGAGAAATACTTGGGACTAAAAAAGCCGAATAAGTACAGCACACAGGGGGATAAAAAGGTGATATGACAGATCTTTGTTGTGCCATCCGCTGTTGGTGTTAAGTCGCCATTTTATTAGAAAGGAAGCTCGTAAGCTGTTGTAACTAGGACAGTGTGGCTAGCGAGGGAATGCTAACAAGCTAGGTATGTGTGTTAAAATGAGGCTGTTGTCGTGGCATTTCTACCTTGTGTTGCCGGTCAGTGGCCAATTGAGTTGCTCTGAGGCTCAGGGTTGGTGTGAAACTGCAGCCGAACCAGGTAGCAACATTTGCTGCCAGATGTGTTATTTCCACAAGTCAGCACAATGGGAACAGCTCCACGCTTTGAGTATGGCCGTCCATAGAAACGGACCAAGGGGTGGAGTCAGCTGTCAGCGTCTGTGTAGGTTGTCAGGGGGTTAAAACACTGTGAAGCGGGTGTGCAGTTTAAGTATTGGTGACTGGGAGAAGTAATAGAGAACAGGATAAAAGTTATGCAGACATACGCTTAAGGAAAAAGGGGAAAATGTTTATTCTTGTACCCCTATGTATAGGATTCTTACCTGTATGTTAACCTACAAACCAAACCTCATTCAATTATCAGTTAAACACTTACAAACAGTGTGCATATGAGACACTCCCTCATTGCCAAACACTTCTACTCATGAATGTGTAGTTATCAAAGGGAAATTTTTTTGTGTTTGGGAATAAATCGTCTTTGTCTTTAAGGAAGTTAAAGTAAAACCCTCTAACTGCTGATGTCTAACAGTTTGAAATGACTGCTTAATTGTTTCAAAACTTCAAAAACATGAAATGAAATTCAGTTTTTGACATCTTGCTGTCCTGTTTCTGTCACACATCACCCTGCAGGTACCTGTGCTACAGAATAATAATGGTCCTCCACTGCTGGGGCTGGCAACCATCGCCTGTCACCTGGTGAAAGAAGCCAAGCGCCCAGAGCTGCTGGGTGACACTGCAGAAAACAGGGCAGTGGTGCAGCAGTGGCTGGAGTACAGAGTGACCAGGCTGGACAGCTGCACAAAGGAAGACATCAAGATCATCCTGAAGGTAGAGAGGCAGATACTCAAGGAAATCTTTGAAATCTCTTCTTTTTTTCTAAGAAAATGCTGTTGCATTGTGTCTGTAAACTTAAATGCATATGTATTTACAGTTTTAATCCTTCTTATTTCAAACTTACTCAGAGGTAGGTTTTGCTTTCAGCTAGTCTGCGCTTGCATTCAAATATTTTTAGAAAAATTAATTGTGCTTTTTCAAATGTGCCACAGCATCCCTGTTTATCTTGCATTGCTTTTTCTCTGTATACCAGTTAGCTCAGTGTGTGTGTGTGTGTGTCTGCATATGTGTGTGTGTCTGCATATGTGTGTGTGTGTGTGTGTGTGTGTGTGTGCGTGCGCGCCTTGTTAAGACACAAGCGACTGGAATACAGACTGATGTATGGCCCTTAAGTGACATGGCCCCACGCGACAGAGAAAAATGCTTTAATGTGCCTGACGCCAGTCAGCGTGAAATGGATCGCCAGCCACTAGTCTGCTGGACGCTAGGCGCCTCTTGGCACCGTCCTGTCAGCATGAAGTGTCTGTGTGTTTGTGTATGTGTGTGCGCACTTCTCAGCGTGACACACTGTTGTGGCATGGCTGAGAAGTCATGCTGCGTGGCAGCATGTTATCTGGACAGGCCTCTTAAATATTTTAATGGTGCCACTTCCAGAAGGAAGTCGCCCTGAGCAGCTCAGCTCTGTTGCCTGGTGGCCCCCTGTCCTGTCCTGCTGCTTTAGCCACGTCCTCCTTTCAAGCACACCAGTCATCTCCCATTAAATTATCCAGAGATAAAAAAGTGTCAACTGCAGGACTTCTTAAACTTTCTCACCCCAGGATGCACACAAGAAATCCATAGTTTATCAAGCTGAGACTTGTTTCCAAAGTAAGCATCTTGTCACTCATGCAATATTATGAAAAACAGACCAGGCCATTTGGCCCTGAACACAGAGACAGCTGAGTGTAAGGGACAGTCTGGCATGCCACCTTAAACCAATTAGGCTAGTACTGGGTGACTTCCTGCTGCAACAGAATTTAAATACTGTCATTTGTTTTATGATGCAAATGTTGTAGCATCTAGCTAATTTTATCTAATAATTACTGTGCTTTTAGTGAACAGAGAACAGCAACATACTGTTTTTGACAAATCAGTATGAATGAGAGAAAACATTTTCAGCTGAGTTTTTCCTTTAATCATTTAATGTATTCAGCAGTTAGAAATTTTAGTTCGGCGTTAGGCATCGACAGTAAAGGTTGCCTGAAGGCCCCGAAGAAGAAAGTTGTTTCAACTCAAGAGGTCACTGTATGTGAATCTAAGAAAGGCAGCAACAATACAAAATTGTTTCTGGAGTATCATGACAGCAGTCAACATCACCGTAGTATGTCAGTACAAAGGACGTAAATGGACAGACATACAATTTAGTGGGAACATAAATGTCTTTTGAGGGATTTTTATTTATTTGTTCAGCTTCTTTCTAATGTTAAAATGGACAGCAGTGCTTTTCCACTCTGTGCATGACCTACCCAAAGGGCGAAAACTTAGAGGAATTGTTGTACGGTTGTTGGTATTTTTGAATTTCCAAAAGTGTTTGACCCCAACTGTTGTTGTGCAGTGATACTTTTGGTAGTCTTAATGTTGCTACAGAGTTTTCCAGCATTATTTTATCTAAACACGGCAACTATATGAATGCACAGCTAAGGCGGGGGCAGGTAGAAAAGAACCCAGGTTTGAGCTCCATGTGCTGGGTGGGGGGTAGCAGAAGAGCTATGTCTCCTCTGATGCTTGACTGGGCTTCATCTCCATGGCTGTAGGCTAAGAAAAACAAGGATCTGATGGTGGAAGGGGAGAAAGTCTGCAGTCTTCATGCCTTGTTTGGCATCACCCACTCTTGCCGCACAATAACTCCATTTGCCCCCAAGATGCGCTGTGTGTGTGGAGTTTTCCGTTCTCACAATGTACAAGTGCTAAAGATGGTCCCTTCCCCTGGGACCAGCACTTCCATGCACGACTTTGCATTGCATACACAGACATGCACTGAGAAATACACAAAATGCTGCCCAAGTTTAAGACAGCTTCATTAGATTTGCAAGCGAGAGTTGTAGTCATTTGGAAGTGGAATAAACAAACAGCCTGTTTTGTACGGCATCTGTGCTAAGTCGCCAGTCATGGGGAGAAATGACATACCCCCTCAGGTTACATATTATTCCTATCCACATAGCACAGCACACAGACACACGCAAGCTAGGATCCAGACTGATGTACCTCACGCATCCACAGATATATAGGTTAATGAACCTGCTGTTGTGTCCCCTTTAGGTCCGTAGTGTCCATCAAGAGGGTCAGATTTGGTAAATGAAATAATGCTAACAATACAGGAAAGCAAGGAAGAATATATGCCCTTCATGAAGCTAAACGTTCACTTTACAGAAGTCTTGAAAACGAAATGCAATACAGCTTTTAAGTCTGACAACATTACCTCTTCTGGTAAAGGGGGCTTCATTAGTGATTCATGTAATGTATTCATCTGTCATGTGAAGACAAGTGTGTTTACATAGAAATACTTACCATAATGCATAAATTATCATAAGTAATAGACTAATTTGCATAGCATGTTATGTTTTGAAATTTCCTCTTTCAGGACCTCAACCTCTACCTGCAAGACAAGGTCTACCTGGCAGGGAACCAGTTCACTGTAGCCGACACTCTCGTGTACTATGGAATCCATCCGCTCATGGTAATGTACTTTGTTCTCACTCATTTACAGCTGCACCTTTAGATGTCATGCTTTATTCAGCTGGCTCAGCGCAACTACTCAATTTGTCAATGTAGCATTAACTTTGTAAAGATCAGATAATCCTTTTTTTGATTTAAGATGTGCTATTAGGGCACACATAAATGCGCTTGTCACTACAACTTGAAGGAAACTGTTCAAAAGTCGAAAAGTTGATTGATCTGTTGTGTCTCAGTACATGCGTGGCACCATTTATCAAGGACTTATCCATCCATCCTTTTTTCCATCCTTTTCCTTCCTTATCAGCATTCACTTCAGTCAAACCACAACTTTAATAAGCAATTTGTCATAGCACATAACACACAATTAGACCAGTCATATGGCTAAAGGGCATCGAGAACAAACTGGCAATAAACACACAGATCCTAAACACACCCTCACTTCTCTTCAAACAAATAAAGTGATGTGGCATAAAGTGATGTCTTTAGCCTCAGACCAGGGACAAGTAAGTTTGCTACGCCTTACAGGATAAAAAAAAAGTGAGTTCAGAAATGGAAAAGGCAGGGTGAGATGGAGGGAGGGAGAGATCACATGTTGAGCGGTGTCAGTGGTTGTGACGGAGATGGAAGGTTGCCCCCCCGCCACCAGGCAAGGGAGCGTCACTTTGGTTTGCAATCAGTGTGGTTTTTAACCTCAGGGACAGGGGGTCAGCTAGCCCAACCTTAACCACAGCCAGTGCTGATGTTCAATTCATGGAAAATAACATTACACAAACATTAGACGTGACTGATGGTAGAATGGTTCTAGGCTGGATTGTTGTCTGTTTGGGGAATTTCCATACTCACACTTAATTAGATAATGAAAAACCACGTCTAATAAGATTTATTTTCTAAGGACATTATGATACATGTTACCATTGTGCCTTAATTTTGTAGTTTGGCACCTGCAGTTTTAGGACAAATATTTCCATACAACACAAAGCTATAGCCTTAATTTAACAACCTTTAGTTTACAGTTTAGGCTCCTTTGTGTTCCTCCCAACATGCACTTCAGAAATTAGTTCATAGGTAAATGAATTCTATATATCATAACCAGTAATGTTATAGGTGGGGATTGGTTCCTTCCCACCATTGCCGACTGCTTGCTCAGAGGGAGTCCAAAGGCATCTTTGGATTGTTAGGTTCTCTGTTTAAATTTGTAAGGTCTATACCTTATAATGTTAAGCGCTGTGAAATGGCATATGTTGTGAACTGCGCTATACAGATAAAATTGAATTGAAATGATTTAATCAGTTTCAGGTTGCGACATCTGTTCAGGTGTGATTACCCACAGCATCACATGCATATTTTGTATATCTGTGCCTGTTTTGGACCTCAAATGAATAAATTATTTCAGTAAAAGCAACCACTTGTTTCTTCATATCACACTTAAAAAGTGAGAAGACGAATGATGTTTCGAAACATATTTTTATGCCAGCAGAATTTATATCAGTCTAAATCTGTGCTTCCTGACCATTTGACTTGTGACTACATGAAATGAACCACTGTTTACTTGTGACCCATGTCACAGGTTGTTTTTCAATGTAGACATGACTTGTGATGAGTTAAACCAAAATGGAATTTTTTTTTTTCCTGAGGTTTTCTCATTTTAAGTATTTCTGCAGGCTCAATGAGATGAAAATATCCAGCATTTCACCAGAAATAAAACAAAAGTTTGAACAGTATAAACAGTGCTGTGTAACAGCACTCAAGTAACTAAAAAGTATTTGTTGGTTATTAGGAAAATGAACCTAATCACTGTTTATATTTTGCAGCTTTTTTTCTTTACATTTCAGAGTTTTTCAGACAGAAAGTTGTAAAGTTAAGTGGCACAGAAGCCCCTTCATAATCAACTAAACCACTGAGAGGAGCCTTAGTTAGCCACGATTGGTCAATTGGTTGCAGAAAGGGGGGAAAACATGCAAAATCAACAGGAATTACTCCAGTCCTGGACCAGCAGGCAACATACTGTCATGTGCACTCTGAATGAGAGAGCAGGTAAAGAGACTGACAGAGCTGGTAAAAACTAATAATTTCCTGATGGCAGCATTAAGAAAGGTCCTAGACTATAGGACCTATAGTTTCTGTGATTATTTACTAAAAAAAAGGTGTTGGTGACCACATTTCATCATCCCGAAATCTATGTACGATCAGCGTAAATACCAAAATGTTCCATCTCCTTGCTGTTATTTGCGTCACATTTAGAATCATTATCCTACAACTGTTTCCATCGCTTCTGAAGCTAGGATCTATTTAAAAGGTTCATTGTGAGCTGCAGTGTTCTATTTCTCTGCAACGTTTGACAATGTTATCAATCTTAGCCCATCTATGACATTTTCTCTAAGTCCTGAAACTCAAATCATATTTGATTTTCCCTGAAAAAAAATATATATATGGATAATAAACTAATGACTACTGATCAACCAGAAAAGTGTGGTTGCCATATGAATTGGAGAGATGTTTTTTTTTTTTTTTAAATTTCCCACTGTGGACGTCACTAGCTTTCCTACTGGCTGTTAAAAGCTTCTCCTTGAACACTCAGCTAAGCATCCTCTCTTCTCTCATCCAGGTGGACTTGGCCGTCCAGGAGAAGGAGCAGTATGTAAATGTTACGCGGTGGTTTGACCACATCCAGCACTATCCTGGCGTCCGACATCACCTCCCTCCAGTAGTTGTGCTCAGGAACAGAATTTACACCAGCAGACACCACTGAGACCTGATCCTCGCCTCCCCACCTACCCAGCCTGACCCACCACACCTCTTCTGTCCTCTGGACCAGACCTGGGCATTTAATTTCTTAAAACCCAAGAGTGTATCACGAGCGGAGGATATCTCCATACAGTCAAATCAATCTTGTTTGAATCATGATTCCTGCCTCCATGTTTTTCTACTCACATACCTGGACTCTATCTGTTTGATCTTTGCTTAACCAGGAAGTTTTGGTGGGTAAAAAATGTTTTAGTGTCCAAGGTACAACTAAGAAAATTACTGCTAATAAAAATCCCTTTCAGTTCATGTTCTTAAAACAATGTCGGTGTTTTTAATAGTTACTTTGCCCGGCAGCACTGGGTTTTGGCTTTCACAGGGGTTGGGGGAGGAAGAAAGAAGGATTTGTGTTATCTTAACCCCTCAATCACTCAATCACTCAGTCATCTTTACACTATTTATAAAAGGAAAAAAATCTGGTATCTTAATCGTTATTCGCCGATGAGGGAGTAATGACGTGCGATGGGCACATCATTTGTGTTTTTTGTTGGGGATATTTGTGTGACTTTCAAAAGTCTCATATGACTGTTTTCAAAGGGAAGTCTGTATGGGTTGTGGTAAAGTGCTGCTAGCTTGGAAAAAAATTTGCTTTTATTTATAAATGAAGACTTTTTTGTTTAATGTGAGCGTTGAACGTACAATGACAAGTATTACAAGTTCAAAGAAGGATTGTGCTTAACTAGCAGTACATGATGTCCTTGGGAACATGCAGCATCCTACCTGCCATGTCATTGCATTTCCTCACCAAATTAATGGGCTGGCTGGCTCAGCATCGTTGCCCCACAAGGACCACAGTCCTTTGCCATTTCTCTGCTGCTGTATCTCATCAGTCTTTGTGCTCTTTTCAGTCCTATTATTGTTTTTGATAGGATTTTATGCTTTTGCATGCAACTCTTGGCCATTTCACTGGACAGTTTAGTTTCTCTCTGTATGTATGTGTGTGTGTTTTTGTTCATTCCTGATTACACCCCTGCTCTCTGTTCCACTTCCTCACCACCAGTTGTGTGGGCAGCAGTGAGCAGTTGAGCGTCAGCCCCAGAGTCAGAGATCAGAGTGAGGCTCCAATCAGTCCCACTACCACCACTGTTGATGCTGCAGGCCAGAGAGAGGGCAGCGGGCTCACCAGCTGCCACACAGATCCAGCCAGCCAAGGCCAGAACCCAGGGCCCTGGGCGACAGTCAGCCACTGTGTGTCATTTCAACCCTCACACTCCCACGGGGGCTACTGGAGAGAGAAGGACGAAGGGAGGCAGCGAGGGAGCAAAGGAGGGAGGCCACACGGAGAAAAAGAGCACCCAGAGGCCGAGGGATCTTTTTGTGGCATGTGAACAATGATCTGTGCCTCTGAAAGCCTTACTGCTGCTGGCTGCGTGTTTGCTATTAGCACCATTAACAGGCCAGATCACGGCAGTGGTGGCAGAACCTGTATATTAACATCATGAAGGTAGTGATTATTAGTGGGGAAGACACTAAATACATGTTTGGTTTAGAGGAATAATTCAAATTTGCCTCTTACTGGTTCGCAATGTCATTACTTTGTAATTGTAACACTTGGGTAGACTGAAATTGTGTAGCCCATAAATGATCAGATTGATATCTTTATCTAATAACCTTAAGATTCACAGTTCTCTAATTAATGCTGACTTTTCACCCATGTTTTTAAATCCACAGGCTGTGCATATCGCCTGTTGCTTAAAGCTAATTGGTTTTGTTATCAGATGTAAACATGATGTTAATCCTGTGCCAATAAATCAAAGGGATACACATCTCATGACCCCTGACTTATATTCGCATTATTCAGCATGTACTTTTCATAATCTCCAAGAATCCGTTTTGCGTAAATGAGCCAGAAGACAAGGCTGCTGTTCAATGAAGTTCTGCGAGACAACTTGCTGTGTGTTTGTGGCGAGCGGTACAAAGTAGATGTGAAGGATAAAAACAGCTTGCAGTCATTTGAGCGAGCCTTGTGACTAGTTGAGACAGTTTAAGCTGTGGTCCACCATTAAAGGAGCCCTTGTACTCTCGCTTATAATAACGTTTGATCGGAATGCTGTTTCAAATGCGCAGCGTCAGACAGTTGAATTTACTTCTGAGGTGTAGATAATCGAGTTTCACCCGCAAAAGTTGCAGCTGAGCAAATAATTCTAAATTTGATTCTGTTTGGGGTGATAGTTGCCATAGTAACAATTCGAATGCCTTTATTGTTAAGGACACTAGTGGATGGCTTTTAGAAAAATGCTGTGCTACATAGAAAAGATGTGGGTTTTTTGTTTTTTATGGAAAATATTTAACAGACCATGGAGGTTTAGAATTTGAAAAGATCTTTCTGTCACGCAGGGCAGCCAGATTCATTTAAAACTAACCCACAGGGACAGTTAATTGGTATAAATAGTAGAAGGCCCAATATTTATATCGTAAATGTGTAGAGAGATCAGGCTTAAACTAATAAATTAACTTGGTGAGCCATGAAAATAAAATTATTAAATGAAACAGCACTCAAAGAGAATTTTTTTGTAGATAAATGTCAGTGATTTGTCAACATTTTGTTAATTGGATGTCCTCTTCTTGTTCTTCTGTTGACTTTGCATCTTTTCATTCCTGCAGTGAGTCAAAACTTAGTCATTTAAAGTCAATGAGTGTTAAGTTCTTGTTAGATTTCATGTGTTCCAAGATATGCTTTGAAATGCTTAAAACATTATCCCAAGTCTGAAATGATGAGTAGTCAGTCGTTTTGAAACTGCTTTTGACTCGGTGCTGACGCTGTTGGCAGAATCTCAAAATACTTGTGTGGTGCGGTCTCCCAGTCAGGTTCCTCCCTGATCAAACCTGAGTGCAGTCAAAGCCAGACACAGTGATGAGGCCACAGCGGGCGACCAGGACAGAGGCAGCAATTAGGGACGACCTTCGCACCGACTTCTGAAGGCGAGAGGAACAGCACTCTGCAGGGATGGTCCTCCGTCGCGGCCCCGGGTCGACGCGCTCAAGACCCGCCCACTGCACCAACTGTGGCCCCTGCAGCCCCCAGCAGCCAAATAAATGCAAGTGCAATTTAGCTTGTTGCCTGGCGGGGGGGGGTCAAAGGTCAGGAAGGTAAGAGTTACCATCAGAATTTACTGATGGCTTCACCTCTCACTGTGGAGCTGTGGCAGGGAATGGGTCTGCCACCTGCTTTGTTCTGACTACAGCTGTACAGCTTGTTAAAGTTTTTACCATGGAACAGGAACAGAGGTTAAACAGAATCTTTAAAAAAAAACAAGTAAATACTTTTTTATGTGTAGGTTCTGCTTTTTAAGAAAGACAAGCAACCTACTGGTTGTTTTAAAGGCCCCTAAACACTGTGATGTGGGATTCATACAGACACGTCAACACTTTTATACAGACCTGCATTGTATACATGTATATGTCACTGTCCAAATTAAAATCCAGGCGGATTTTAAATCTGCCAAGGCGAGATTAAAATTGTGATTTGGTCTAGGCAAGATTGAAATTTTGGTTTGGTCTAGACAGATTTTAATTCTGCCTAAGATTTAGATTTTGCCCAGACCAAATTAAATTCCTTCTTATATCATAATGAGATTGTAATCCTGATTTTAAATCTGCCTAGGCGGAATTAAAATTTTGATTTCATCTAGACCAATCTGAAATCATCCTTATAACAAATTGAGATTGTAAGCCTGCCTATCCAGATTTAAAATTTGACCAGACCAATTTAACTATCTGGAATAGATTTCATTTTTGTATAGCCATTCAGGAAAGGACATATATATATATATATTTATTTTTTTTTTTTTTTAAACATATATGGAGATTCATTGGATATTTCATTTTATTTCATTTATCATATACATACACAAAAATGTGGAACAAGTAACATAGCAAGTTGACAGTAATATGTACAATTCTTAGTATTTTATATATAAGGTATGCAAATTTAACTACAAACTGACTTATCTCTCTACATTCTGGCTACTGCCTTTTGAAATGTTTTAGAACTAATTAAGCACCGAATGTCAGTTGTTTCAGTACAAAACATAAAATGTATGATACAGAATCTCAATTTGGTCTCGACAAAATCAAAATTTTAATCTCACCTTGGCAGATTAAAAATCCGCCTGGATTTTGATTTGGATTGTGACATATTCATGTACATTATAGCGTGTAAATGTGGCCACCTTAGTTTTTTTTTTTTTTTTTACATTTTCTTTTTCATCATCTCAGCATCCATAAGTAAATAACAAAACTGTCAAACCTGCTGAAATCAAATATGACTAATCAATCGTTTGTGTCAGATCTGCTCCTGAAAGGACATTATTTAAAGATGACTAAAGAAGACTAAATCTTTTTATAGCAATGATACATTTAGAACAGACTTTGTGCCATAGCTGTGCCCATAAATACACAATTTTGCATCCACACAAGAGACAAATAAACAACAAATCAGCAACAACAGAATACAGTCCCCACAATAACCGCAATCCTAATAATAGAAAACTAATAATGCTAAAAATCATGTAACGGACAGCTTATTAAGATTCTTTGGCTTACATCAGTAAATCCTTTGACAAGGTCAAATTAGAGCAAAGAGAAAGACAATGAACAAGAGCTGAAATGCCTCAAAATATCCTAAAATGAGTCCAATTTTTCCACATTATCTAAACTACTTCATTTGAAGGGCAACATTTGTCAATGTTTGTGGTCTACAATAACCAACCCAAAAAAAATCAGAGGATCGAAAAAAAACATGACTCAAGGAAACATCCCCATGCAGAGAAATGACCAAAGCTTGTTTTTAGTTTTAAAGTGATTAGATTGCTTTGATATTGTTATGTTGCAGTTTGTTGCCCATCAAAAATAATCAAATGAAAAATGAAACTATACTTTTTTGAAGTGCAACTCAACATGTAGGCTACGTGTTAGTAGCACATCTGAACATGCAACTACTTGTCTTCTACTGTTAGGCAGTAAGAAATAGCTATAGGGATTTTTAAAAAAATCTTTTTATGGCTTTACTCATTGTCTTTACTTTGATTCATTTAAGGCTATTCATTTATCTAGCCAGTCATTCTTTTTCTGTTTTTTTACTAGCCAAATGACTATATTTGAAAATTTGTAGTATTACACAAACACACTCTGGTTTAGTTGCAGAGGCACAAAATGAGCTGGTTAAAAGCTGCTACTCTCTGAACAAAAAAAGAACAGCAACAATAACAAGCTATTGACCTGTAGCTTTAGTTGTATACATGTAGCATTACTCACAGGAGTAATGTTGCACACATGTCTATTGCTGCATGGTCAGATGGGCTACATACAATATGCAACTGTGCTACTGAGTCCATGACAGGCTCCAACCATAAAAGCAAAAACACAGGAATGGAAATTTAGAATATTGAGAATTTTCATTTTTGTTCAAAAATGTATTTCTGAAACTTTTTTTTTTTTTAATGGACATTTAAAAATGAAAGGCAGTTATCCATTTGAGAAGTAATAGAAAAGAAATAGATAATGAACATTTTTAACCTGTACTATTTAAATAATGCGAGAATGCAAGTATTACATGGATTTGATATGAAGCTTTGGCATCATATGCTCCGAATGTCTATATCCTGTTTGTAGCTTTAGTCTATTTTTCTATTTATTTGTTTATTCTTTTCTATTTTCATACATTTTTCTATGTTCACTTAGCACCATGGGGCCTCGGAGTATTGCAATTTCAGTTCTCTGTATGTTGTACACATGGTAAAACTGACAATAAAACTGATTTGACTTGACTTGACACGTAAGGCGATTAAGATTTTATTAAAGCATCCTGACACACTTTGATATCCACTCAATTTACAAGATTGTTTTTGTTGCACAGCGTGTACATACCCTGAAAGACCTCATGAAACTGAAATATCAAATTAAAAGTGAGCCAAAGGTGCTTGTTGCATGTTACCATTGTCTTTTTTTTTTTTTTTTTTTAAATATGTTGAGCTTATGGTCTAGCTTCTAAACATTGGAGGAAAACTAATACAATTTCCTACAATTTGGAAGTGACATGTATTCACAATAGTTGAGTTTCACCAAAAACCATCAAATCAGTGCAGCCAGTGATGGACACTGAGCCTAAAGCTGCACAGTTCATTTCTTCTGGGAGTCACTGTTTTCACTCATTGAGGGAAAAAGAGGTTTTACCAACATTACCCCCTCATCATCTCCTAACACCTTTGTCACCTTAAGTTTACTAACCATATTAGATGGACAACCCCCGCTCCACCTACGTAACAGCAAACAGCCACGCAGTCGCCACCACCCTTCATTAATTCTTATTAACAACATCAGGGTGAGGGAAAAGCATCGGCCTCGACATCTGCTAAGAACAGGGCTCGCCATCTCTCGCTGACTGATTCAGTGGAACAATCAACACCGCGTGGTGGTGAGGGGAACGTTAGCATGTCGTAAGCTCTTTTGACAGGACTTATCGACCACGCTTTATCGTGCGCTTACACGTTGTGACAGTTGTACCATGCGTCTATAAAGATGGCATCTGATTGTCTATTGCAATTACATGAGTGCATGAGCAAGGATGCAGCTATGAAGGACGCAAAGGGACGGGAAGGGGGCCATGTGTTTTTCACAACATGTTCTTCGCTAAACTTATTCCTGTAGACGGGAAGGAGAGAAATGTGTCTTTACCTCTCAAGGAGAGGGAATGAATGTGTTTACAAAGTGTGTTCACATGCATGTTGAGAAAGATGAGAGTCTCTACCCACTATCATCTGTGTAGAGAGATAA